TGCCATTCGGAAGGTCGGCAGTTCAAATCCCTGCGACGGGGTGAGCTCCTATTGCTCTATCCCAGCTCCTGCCAACCTAGCAGTTTGAAAGTATGCCAGTGCAAGCAGACAACTAGGTACCACCGTGGGAGGAAGATAAACAGCATTTCCGTGCGCTGTAGCAATCCATAGAACTGTTTAGATCATTGCAAATGTAGGTTTACCTAGGCGCTGCAACCGTGCAAACATAGCCATTCAACCTGCATAAAACATGTCAAAGGATCTTATGTTTCTTTCAGCTGCTCCAGTTTCCAAAAACCCTATTGTGCCAAGTGTTGTTAATGTTTTTGTTTCCTTTTAACATAAAAGATCCAATCTGCACTATTATGTATCAGGCTTAGGAAACAGAGTAGGAGAAGACAGGGATGATGTCATTTCTTCCTGTTACATTTCACTTCCTTCTAGCTACAGGACTCTCTCCTGCCTGACCTCTCTTACAAAAAAAATTAAAAATAACATGCAGTACACATGTGTGGTAAATGCTAATTTCAAGTTAAGGAGGAAGGAACTGAAAAAACAATATTCTAATATTAGCTAAGATAGAAAGTTGAGTATGACATAAAGAAAACAGCCGTGAAGTGAAAACATACAGAGTTAAGTTGCAGCCCTCCTCAGCAATTACGGTAATACAGTGGTACCTTGGGTTAAGAACTTAATTCATTCTGGAGGTCTGCTCTTAACCTGAAACTGTTCTTAACCTGAAGCACCACTTTAGCTAATGGGGCCTCCTGCTGCTGCTGCTGCCGCCGCGCCGCCAGAGCACGATTTCTGTTCTCATCCTGAAGCAAAGTTCTTAACCCGAGGTAATATTTCTGGGTTAGCGGAGTCTGTAACCTGAAGCGTATGTAACCCGAGGTACCACTGTACTATGTTCCTCGTGACAAACATGGGAACACACTGAGTAGCCCATACTCCAATGTCCACTTGAACAGTGCAGCTATCTGTAGTAACACTGTAGATGCAAAGGGCTCCCCATGACCCAGAATTCAAATTGTGCAGAGTTCCAGTTTGTGTTGAACCCTTCATAAGTACAGTACAGCTTCACACAGGAAGATGTTATAGCCACAGACAGTTGAGCTGTTCAGAGAGAAGCCGGGGCTACTCAGCTCACCCCTGCCCCTGTGTTGAGTAACATGGAAGCATTGACACCAGGACAGCTCAGATACCGGAAGTGATTCACACTGGGAAATATTACCAAAACCAGTGTATTGAAGGTGGCTCATTTTCACAGATTAATAAAACAACAGCCCTTCCCCTCCATCTCTGATTATATATATATATATGAACAGGGGAGACAGCTGGATAAAGCATACATTGGTGCCTGCATGAACACTTTGTTTACTGAAATGTCATTTTCTTCTTTCACAAATAATCATGCCAGTCTAAACGCCTTCTGGTTTGGGACCATGTTACTGCCTTTAAAGAACTGTGTGCATTATATTAATGCTAACAAGCAAGGACTTCACTAAGAGAGCATATGTTATTTTCTACTGCAGTGTTTTAAAAAAGGGATTTACTCCACGATAAAAAAAATTCACATGCACTAACTATTAAGCATTCATGAAGCATATAAAGGGCATCAGTCCTTAAAATAGGCCAGCTTTGTTAATCTTGCACACAGTTATATCTGCAGGTGGTCTTCATGTATTATTTGCTTTTCAGAGCAACTACATGCAGACAATGAAACGGGGTTGGACTAGATGACTCTTGGGGTCTCTTCCAACTCTTCTATGCTTCTGTTATTCTATGGCATGACACCTGTACCTAACCAAATGTAAACTATCCTTGCTTACCAGTCGCAGAGTCTGGCAAAGGACAGTGAAAATCAAACATTTTCTTTCATGTAGACTTAGTTCCCCCTACTCACCCCAAAAGCCTATTTTGCTATGACTTTTATACACACTGCAGATTCATTTTGTCTCCTGGTTTAAATGTATAAGTATTTCAAAATGAAAGTTTGGGACTTTATTTCTGGAATTTCTATCATATTCATCAATATTATGTATTGTAATTTATGTATCCTGTGTTATTTGTATGATGTTAGCCGCTCTGAGTCTGGCTTCGGCTGGGGAGGGCGGGGTACAAATAAAATTTATTATTTATTATTATTATTATTTTAAAAAACAAAGAAAATGGTCCTTGCCATGCCTCCAAGAGTGTTTCACATAATACAAATGAAATATAATTACAGGGAATAATAAAATCATTCAAAAAGCAAAGTGTCAGGAAATGCATTTACTGCAATTTCCAGCCAATTAGAAGGGTAGAAATACACTCCACATCTGATAATGGCTAAGTTCACATGTAACAATTAGCTTCAGTAAACCATACTGTGCGGAAACTGGGCTGCTGCACAAAGCCCGACTGTTCCCGCTTTGTCCCCCCCTTTGAACAAGTGGATAAACAAACCAGGAAGGAGATAGCTTCACACAGGGGTGGGAAACCCTTTTCAACCAAAGGCTCACATTCCTTTCTGGACAACCTCCTGGGGGACCGTGCCAGAGTTTCTACACACATTCACACCCCCTCTATCTTCCATCCAGGCAGGCAGAAGGATGTATCAAGTTTGAGAACACATTTCAGCCAGGCTGACCATTGGCCATGCTGACTGAGGCTGATGGGAGTTGTAGTCCAATGACATATGGGTGGCGCCCCATTGACTATCCCCGCAGGGTTGTTTCCATACGTTCTGAGGTAAAAAAGAAACAGCCTGTGTCCAGCATGTGATCATCCACTGCATGCTTTCTTTCCCCACCAAAATGAGTGTTGTTGAATGTGATAGAACAGACAATTAGATAGAATTTCACAAAACTATTCTCCTTCCTCTTCCACCAATGCTGAAAATCTGTTTAGCACAGTGGAAGACTTTTCACACTCAACACCAGGAGCATAGCCCGTAGATATTTGCAATTTACTTAGAACTGAAAGGTATTATGTGCAAGGGCCAAAATCTCCTAATGTTCCTTTCCGATCTTTTATCCAGATTTAAATATTACTGAATTACACAGAATAATATTTCTAGCTCCTCCACATATGAAAAATGATTTTTAACTCTGTTATTTTTAGACCAACAGCTGACTCCACAGCAACTTCACTGTAATAAATTATATACAAATTAGTAAATCTACACCCAACAGAATATAAAATAATTTAATTTCCAATTATTATTGAAATAAAGCTATTAAAACACTACTTGTGTTCTTAATACAGGAGGTCTTATATATTATTTCTAAAATTGTAAGTAAAATTTATCTTTAATGCAATGATTTCGACACAATGATCCATGTACATATTTCACTTTTCTAAAAACGAACAATTGCTTGGTATTGACAATTGTTTTCTATTCCATTATGGTCAATATCGTATGCACACTTACTTGAGAGCCCCATTCCTCTCAGTGAATCTTAATTCCAAGTAAACATTACAGGATCATGCTATTTGCCATATTAAACAGAACATATCACTTTCCAAGTTCAGAATCTTAATTTTGTTATATACTCCTGCGGTTTTATTCCTTTTCTGGCACCTTTCCACATCTATGAAATATGATCTTAGAAAAAGCACTGTAATATATTTAACTAATAAACTATATTGTTTACAATATATTCTCTCTTACACTGCACACTTCAATAAATACACACTTCATTAAAAACATACTTCATTAAATAAAACAATCCAATATACTCATTTACCTCTTTTTCATCCAGAACAGATCTAACGGACAACCAACATAATACCCTGGGATCCATTTTGCCTATCAACTGTAAAGTAAGCCTTTATCAGCAAATCTTTGTTTCAGGAAATCCCGGTTCAAGTGCAACTAAGTTCCTTTTAAATAGAAAATATATTGGTGTCCCAGCCCATCCCTCCACCAGCTACTCATGCTTTTCTAAATGGAAACCTTGACTGCTGGGCATAATTATAGTAGCTGTTGCATGTGATAAATAGTCAAAAAGCCAGAGTCATAGGATTGTCTGGAAAAGGCTGCTGCGTCTCATAATGTAAACATTTCCTCCTCCTGCTGGAATAGGAAACATCCATTCTGGTAAATGATTAAGAAATTGCTGGCTTTCAAACTCATTCGTAATAGTAGGAACATTCCCCTCCCCCACGCAGCTGCAAATCTCCTTTGCTTCCTACAAAAAGACATACAGTAAGTAGAAAACTTGAAGAGAGTAAGACGAAAGAGCACGCCTTAAATAAAACCCACAAACTTTAATATGCAAGGGTAAGACCCAGGTCCACCGTAGTCCCTATTATGAAGTGGCTGCTTTGTAGCATTCCTTGTTGAGATTAAAAATTCATATCAGTCCTACCTTCCAACAAAGGTGGTAATTCAAGCCCCTAGTATAGCCTGCTTGCTGACACAATAAATGACCACAGCACTACAAATCCACCGTGGATTTTGCTTACGCGGCTGCAGTTGTCCACGTGTCCAGTATCTGATGCACAGACAAAGACGACAAGTTTTCATTGAAAAGCAATACTGTTCTAGCAAACTCCAGAATGATGCCTGGCTTCACCTATGAAGGTTTCTTTGGGAGCTATTTGGGGATGTGTGTGAAACAGCAAGGTTGTTTCAGAGCATGTGAAATGCTTCACGTACTGTTTTCACTTGCCTATTTAAGCAGCTGTTGGTTCTTGTGTCACTTCTGCTTCCAGCAGTTTCCTTCTTACCAGACTGACAATCGGGAATCGCACGCTAAGGCAGCAATCCTAATCCTACTTACCTGGGAGTTAGCCTCATTGAATTCAGTAGGCCTTACCACTAAGTAGACATGGTTAGGATCGCTCTATAAACAATGGTATCGCAACATTACATGATATTACAAAGCCAATTAAGAGTAAAGGTGATGAAAGGAAAGAGAAGCCAAGTCTGGGTGGACTGGCCTTTTTAAAGGGCCTGTTGTCCCTCCCTTCCAGCCATGTAAGATGAAGAAACCCCATGAGATCCTGGAGAGACCCAGCTCACTCGGTAGAGCATGAGACTCTTAATATCAAGGTTGTGGGTTCGCGCCCCATGTTGGGCAAAATATTCCTGCATTGTAGCAGGTTGGACTAAACGACTCTTGTGGTCTCTTCCAACTCTATGATTCTATTATTATTAGCTCTTTTGGCCATGACGGTGACCATGGTGCCCTGCAGCCAGCCTGTGCCTCAAATTCCTTCACTGGGCTGTGAGAATGAGTATATACCTCCTAATTCCTAATAGCCACCTTTAAAGTGCCTCCCCATAACAGCTTAATCATGGTCTTAGGTGATACCCCTATAACAAAGCAGCAACTTATTTTCAACATACAGTATAATGACTTCTGCCAGAAGCTTGAATATCGCTGAAGTTGGAACAAAGCAGTTCAAAATAACTCAAGGCAATTTATAGCTTTCACATGCAACCCTAAGCAACATTATTTCCTCAGTTAAATGTTCATTGCTAAGAAACCTGCACAAGTTTCCTACCACATTATCCTTCACGCACATCCTTTTAAAACAAACTTAAAATAAAATCAGGCATTATTTGCCTAGGCAGATGTGCCTTCAAAATGCCCCCTTTACCCATTTCTATCTTTCTATTTTGAATCGTCCTACTTTTTAAACCTAGCATTCAGAACTGAAGCAATGAATGGCTCTTACAATGAAAGCAGCCCAATTCTGCCGACATGGTTCTAGAAAAGTTCTTTTTCAGCCATTTTCCCAACAGCAGATCTGTGTCACAAGCATCTATTATCAGCACCATTATCTGACAATGGGCTTCAAATGTATGTCAGTGATAAGAAGCACTTTATTTTCAAGGCTGCAAACTAATGCATGCTAAATTATATCCTAACAACTAATATGAGAAGGAAAAGTGAGACTGCAAAGGCTACCCCCTATAAAATATGCTGACCTATAAAATTTAAATATAGTTTGGCTGCTATATAAATCAAATCAAATCCGTTTATTGTGAGGACCATGCCTGTACACAAGCATTAACACAACAATAGTTAAAAAATATTAAAATTCATTACATACTACGCCAACAAAACCTTCATCCCACAAAATAGAAAGAGAGGGAAAACGAGCAACGAGTTAAACAGACGATGAAGGGGTCTTTACATTGTCATCCATAAATCTTTCCCTGGCTTTCATGGCCTTCATCACAAAAACCGCTACCACATGGGTAATACGTGGGTTTGCATCAACTAACAAAAATTTTACTCTATCTTCAGGATTGGTTATAGAGTTGGGTATAATTTGCAGCAATGCGTCTCTAAAGCCCGAGTAGATGGGGCAATAGAGGAGGTAATGTGTAAGATCCTCTTTAATTTTCATAAGGCAAGGGCATAAACGATGTTCTACTGGGGTTTTTGTGAATCTACCGGTCAGATATGCAGTTGGCAGTGTTTGAAACCGTGCCATAGTGAAAGCTCTCCGAAGGGTGGGATCAGTGATCTCCACCAAGTAGTTGGCACAGATTTTGACTGCTTTTACTCGGGGAAACCAGTAGGAAAACCCAGAGTTTTTTATCTTTGTGGAGTCCAAAAGGCGTCTTTTCAAAGATCCATTCCCGAACTTTATCAGGGCTCCACAATTTAAGGGTATTAAACTCAGGTAGATTGTATCTGGATAGGATATCTAGTAGGTTTTTATGCCAAGTAGTATTATTTTGTAATGATACAAAGGCTTGTTTAGCCAATAAGGTGTTCGGGGCATCTGTGAGGTTGGTGAAAAAAACGCAGGAATCTTAAGTGGGCCCTGGCAGACACAGAAGGTAATCCTACTTCCACTCTTAGGAGAGCTGCCGGAGTACTCTGAGGGAGGCCTAGAATTCTTCTGAGGTAAAAATTTTGGAAGATTTCAAGCCGTTCTAACAGCTTCTGATTCCATCCCCAGAGTTCTACTCCATATAGCATCTGGGGAATCACTTTTCCAACAAAAGCTTTTAATGCCGGGATCACCAGTTGCCCTCCCCTCGAATAAAAAAGCTGAGCAGAGCACCGATTGTCCTACGTGTTAGAAGGGCTACAGTCTTGAAGTGGGCAAGCCAGCTAGATGTAGCTTGGAAAGTGATACCAAGATATTTAAAAAAAGGACACTGTTCAATTTTGTGTTCATCTAAAGACCATCTAAATGTGTGGCGAGCTCTAGTAAATACCACAATTTTTGTTTTGTCATAATTTATCTTTAGAGAGTTTTGGGAACAATAAGCTGCGAGCCCCTCCAGCATGCTATGTAGGCCCCTTCGAGTAAGTGCCATGACAGCCATGTCATCAGCATATAGTAATATATTCAGGTGTTTGCCTTCCAGGGCAGGAGCTGATGACTTATACTTTGCCATATGTTGAACAATGTCATTTATATAGAAATTAAAGAGGAACGGCGCTAACAAACAGCCCTGTTTAACCCCTTTCCCCAGTGGCAGTGGGTCAGTATAGTTGCCTGACATCCCAGTTCTGATTTTAACTGTGGTGTCTGAATGTAACTCTCTAAGTATTTTGAGAAGTCGTCTATCAATATCTGTTTCATATAATTTTTGCCATAATTTGTCCCTACAGATTGAATCAAAAGCGGATGTGAGATCTACAAAAGCCACAAAAAGTTTGCTCTTATGTACCTTTGTATACTTATCTATCATTGTCTGTAGTACCAAACAATGGCCTGTTGTACTATGGCCCTTTCTAAACCCTGCCTGTTCCGGATTAAGCAGGTTAGAGTGGTCAGCCCAGTCAACCAGTTTATTTAGCAGGTAGCGAGTGTAAAGTTTATACACAATGTCCAGGAGACTTATGGGGCGATAGTTTGAGGGGTCTTGGGGGTCTCCTTCTTATAGATGGGGGCTACCAGGCTCAGTTTCCAGTTTTCTGGGATTTTGCATATATCATTTATTACCGTAAAAGTTGGGCCAAAATAGCAGCCCACCACTGGGCATTTAGTTTAAACACCTCAGGAGGAATCATATCCTCACCGGGAGCTTTGCCATTCTTGAGTGTTTTAATTAGCTGTAAACATTCTGATTCGGTAACAGGATCCCAGCCCATTAATAGATCGTTTTTAAGAGGAGGAAACTGGCTCGGTTTAGCAATGTTTGGAGCTGTATATATGGCTGCTATATAGCTTCAAGCTGTTAACTTCATAATGTTGTGAAATTTCTTAAAAAGAATAGTATACTTGAATATACTGGTGGATAATTGTTAATAGTTAGATTAGGCAGCGTACTCACCTACTAGAAGAAGATGCTATAGGCTGCAAAGGAAAAAGAGAAAGAGAGAATTAAAAATGTTTATATAAATATATATACATATGGTTGCTCTAAACTGATGACACATTTCTATATTTATATGCAAGCTTTTGTCTCCAGTGCAATCACTTAGAATATATATCCAATATTCTTTTGTTGTTTGTGTAGCAAGACACCTCATTGTGGAATTTGAACCACAAGGCAAGTACTGAAAAACAGAACTTGCATATATTGAAAGACCTGCAACTCAAACTGGCAAAAGCCTTGTTCAGGAAGGAATGAACACATGGCTGGAGGAAGGAAATTTGGGTCATGTACGCCCTATGCAAGAGTTTCATGCAATGTTAATTTTAAACACCTACTTTAAACAAATAAGCCTGCTTCCTCTACCCCTAAAGTTAGAGATCGGTTCAAAATAACTCAAGGATGCTAATCACGTGGAAAGGGAAAGAGGGAGCAGAGCAAACATGTGTTCCCAGTGGCATGCGGTGAATTTTTTCGTAGGGGAACCGTTAGGGCCAAAGGTGTCAGCATGCAAGGGCAATGGAGGGGGCCTGACGTTTCCCATGTCACACATGTGAGCATCGTGCCTCCTTCCCTAAGCTTGGCAGAAGCTTCCTGGGCTTTGGGAAGCAGGTGCCAGCCCTCTGACAGGACTCAGGAGCCCTCTTGCCTCCTTCCCAAAGCTGGGCAGGCTTTGGGAAGGTGGCGGAAGGGCTCTTGGACCCATCGGAGTATTGCACCTCCCTCCCTCTGCCAGGCAAAAGCTTTCCAGGCTTTGGGAAGGAGGCACCAGGGGAACATTTAGGGGACTAGCCTAGTCCACTGACCGCACACCACTGCACATCCCCCTAAACTGCATTCCTGGTAGCCGTCCATAAGTTGAAGGGCAACCATCTGTAGTGGGGAGTCTGCTCTACCTATGTGGACCCCTGGATGTTTTAGAACCAATCTGCCACACATTCAAAATATCATTTGTTCAGGAACCTAGGTATGTGGACCGTGGACATACAATTTGTATTCCTTGAAATAGATCACTGGTATGTTCCTGTGCAAATAACACCTAAACCACATCCAAGTTTAATTCCAGATTAATGGACAGAATGACTTAAGCTCCTAAGCAATTCTGTTTTTTCCAGTTGATGCCACTCATGACAAACCTGCTTTGAAACTGAGATGTATATCATGAGCACGCAGTTTAGCACAGGAAGTTTGATAGCACAACCCTTTGCATGGTTACTTAGAAGGAAGCCCTATTGTGGTCACTGGGACTTACTTCTTGTAAGTGCACATAGGATTTCAGCCTCAGGGTGTCTCCATATAAAAGTAGCCCTATAAACACATAAAATGCTCAGCATGTGTTCACAGTAATTTATGACATGTTTAAAAAATAACATGCCACTGGTTGCTTCTCTGTGAGATTATATTTGCTGAAATTCTCTCTCTCTCTCTCTCTCTCTCTCTCACACACACACACACACACACACACACACACACACACACACACACACACATGTCCACAAAAATAATTACGGGGTGGAGCATGGTCTATGACTTGGAACTACAGGTTGTTGACTATTTTGATTCATTATATTTGTTTTCAGTTTGTCCACTGAACAACAATACCGTAGGACTCTAAACTAAAGACTCCTAATGCTGAAATTCACACCTCTTACACAGACCCCACCTTGCTACAGTGAATGTCAGACATTTGGTCTGAAACCAGTCAGGCTTTTTTGTTGTTGATGATGATGCTTGTTTGTCCACAACATAAAGGAAAATATAACACAAAGTGGATAACTCTTTAAGCCGGGG